GTGTGTGTGTGTGTGTGTGTGTGTGTGTACGCGCGCGCGCGCCGGGAGCGGGGTGAGGGGAGTGTGAACGGGCGGGATGGACATCTCAGAGACGCTCTGTGAGCGGGCGGGATGGAGGCCCCCGAGATGCTCGGCTGCTCAGCCGGTGGGCTCGGCGTGGGAATTACGGCCTCGCGGGTGAAGGTCACGAGGTCCGCACAGACCGTCGGAATTCGGAGAGATTCCAACAACTCCCTAGAACTTGGAGTGCGCTCCTCCCCGGGAAACTCCCCTGCGCCTCTGCCATCCCAGCTCCGGGCTTTCGCGCCGGTAGGGGCCTAGGGGAGCGAGCGGCGGGACACCGCGAGCTGGGAGAACCCGGCTCACCGCCAGCTCCCCTCTCCTCCCGTCCCCGCAGGGTGGCGTTCTGCTTCTGGATCCTCTCCAACGTGCTGCTCTCCACACCCGCCCCGCTCTACGGCGGCCTGGCGCTCCTGACCACAGGCGCCTTCGCGCTCTTCGCGCTCTTCGCCTTCGCCTCCATCTCCAGCGTGCCACTCTGCCCGCTCCACCTCGGTTCCTCGGCGCTCACCCCTCACTACGGCGCCGCCTTTTGGGTCACGCTGGCAACAGGTGAGGACCGAGGGGATGGGCCTGGGGTAGCTGGGGGTGGGAACACGATTGACGTCCGGTGTGCGCTTTCCAGTTTACAAAATGGATTCACATCTGTTATCTAATCGGCTCCTCTCAATAGTTCGCCGAGACAGACAGGCACTCTTATACCCACCCGTTTGACAGATGAGACGAGGGGGTTCAGAAGGGTTTGGTATCTTGCCCCCGTTAGCACAGGAATCCGTCTAGCATGTAATCCAGATGAGAGTCTTTCTACTAGGGGTGTGTGTGTGTGTGTGTGTGTGTGTGTGTGTGTGTGTGTGTGTCTGGGGAAGAAACGCGAGGGTAGCCTCCAAAAGATGGAGGAGGGCAGGCGGAATTCAGGTCTGGAGCCCTGATTCCACCCCACTCCTTTCTTTCGGTCCTCGCCGCCACAGGCATCCTGTGCCTGCTGCTCGGAGCGGCGGTGGTGTGTCTCCACTACGCCCGGCCCAGCGCTCTTCGCACCCTTCTGGACCAAAGTGCCGAGGACAGCAGGAACCAGGCGAAAGGTGGCGCGCCTCTCATTCTCAACAACCCGCTGTACAAGCAGGCCGGGTGCTCGGACTTAAGCACCACCACTAACCTGTGAACGGGACCCGATCCGGACTCCTTCCCCACCGCGTAGGCCGGGAAACAGTGCTCGCCGGGCCGGGCCGGGCCGGGCCGGGCCGGGCCGGGAGAGCTCCGGGACGGGCACCGTGTCGGTGCTGAGGCCTCGGCTGTGCCGCTGTGCCGGGAGGCACCAGAGAAAGTCTCCTGGGGCGAGTGTAAATTAACTTTTTTAAAAAAACAAACAAAACTTTTTTTCCATTAACTTTCATGACTCTTGGGGACGCCCGCACTCGGTAAAGTTTCGCTCGGCGTGAGACCGCCTAGTACACCCTGCGCTGCTGCGAAACCGGTTTTTCTCTCGGAGAAGCCAGAGGGACCCAGGAAAGGCAATGGGAGAGGGGCGCCCTCTGGTGAGGCCGAAGGGAAAGCGACCGGAGCCAGCATCTTCCTGAGCCGCTGCAGGCGGATGTTAGGTTGCAGTGACCAGGAAGGTCCTCCTCCCATCGAGGTACCCCTCTGCTAGCCCAGCTGAATGGACTGGGAAGAAACCGCGTTCTGGAGTGATTCACTCATTCCTGCCACCGGCTTCTTTTGGGGTGGTGTCTGAGGGCCAAGATGAATGTCAGCAAGACATAAAGATATACATTCTGAGATTCTCAGGTCCTTGGCAAATCCTGCAATCTTATTTGGCAAATTTGGGAGCTGAAACTCAAAGAGAATGTGGTACAGCTGTTCATGTTAGAGCTGGGAAGAGAAGTGTGGTCTCTTCTCCCCTTCAGTGTTGCCTTTCATTGTACCAAGAGGTCACCCACAGTGGGGGGAAGTAGAGAACAAAAGGGACCCAGGAAAAAGGAGGGGTGCTGAGGGATGTGAAGGACCACAGGGGAATAACTATAAGCCCTTTCCTCCACGTCACACACACATCACGTGGGTGGAGCTGGGTTTCAGTGAATGGAGTCTTGAAGAAGCAAAGCATCAAAGAAAATCAGGGCTGCTGTGCAGAAACAGGACAGCCCTTGCTTGGTCTTATCATGGCAACAGGGATTATGGACAGGCACAAAATCCCTTCAGCTCCTTAGGGCTTTTTGTTTTGTTTTGTTTTGTTTCTTAATATCAATAGGTAGAGCCTCCTTTTTCTACTCCACCTACAGATTGATGCTGGGGGTCTGACACACCCCACCCTGAGGGCAGTTCTGGTGGTTTTATGGGGGCTCCAACGAGGTCTGGAAGTCCAGGTGGCTGCCAGGGAGAGGATTGTTAGAGGGCACAGTCAGGCTCTCCGAGGTATTCTTCCTTACAGTACGCTTGGGTGGAGGGATTCTCTGACAGAGGAATGTTCTGGGGCTCAGGACTCTCAGCCATGGACCGGTAGCGGGGACTCAGGAGTCCCCCTTCCTCAGGACTCCTCTCCAGCATAGGGTCCTCCTCTGTGCTCTGGTTGAAGAAAGCCTTCAGCCTGTGAGGCTGCATCCTGTGGACCACCGCCATAGTCAGGCCCAGCAGCACACACAGCAGTCCTGGGGGCGAGGGCAACAGTTGTCTCACCTTAGTGCTAGTAACACCTTCCAAGGACATTCTCTCCTAGGAGCTGCAGAACAACTCTAAAGGCAGCCTAGAGTCCCTGCTTCAGGACAACTTGGGCTCAGAGTGGTGACTGGCTTAGGGTCATATGGCTGGTGTAGCTCTGTTGTCCTGAGTTTCCAGACTCCAAGCCCAATGCTTTTTCAGTCATATCCCAGCAGAGAGAGGAGAGAGAACTTTGAAAACAAAATAGACATGCTGGGGAAGGACAGGGCACATAGAGGGAGGCATGAGGAAATGTTTGAGGAGGTGGACACAGTGGGATAAAAAAAAATTAAACGCAGGACAATTTATGGCTGTGTGAGGCAAGGACAGAGAGGGGTTTCAGGAATGGGGATGCAGAGAAGGGTGTTTGGAGGAAGTGAGAGTGTTGGAAGATTTGGGAAAGCGCTGGGTGAAGAGAGTTAGGAGATGAGTGACATGATAGGGACAGAGAAGATACAGGGAGTGAGCATCTATGAGGCGGGAGGGTAAGTGGCACTGGGGAGAGAAAACCAGGAGGTGAGGGATTCAAGAAGGAGGAGTTTAAAGAAGGCAAAGGCTTCCTGGTCTCCAGAAACAGACCCTCAAACTCACCATTATGATATGGCCCCTGGCCCTGAGCCCTCCAGTGTCTGTCTTTAGGGCTGGGTCTTACCTGTGGTCAGTGTGATCCAGAAAGCAGGCCCATGGTGAGTATGCAGCACAGCAGTGCCCAGGCGCAGGGGACACGGTGAGGTGAGTGATGTGGTCATGGAGAAGAAGAACAGTGCCAGCAGCTGGAAGATGCCCGTGGCCAGTAGCATATAGCCACCGTAGACCAGTACAGGCATGGAGAACATCACGTTGGCCAGCAGCCAGCAGAGGAATGCCACCCTGGAGAGCCAGGACTTAGTGAGCACTGGTCTAGGCGTCTTTACCTGCCAGCAGAGCTGGAGTAGTCCAGGTGGAGACTCAGGAACCCAAGAATATGACCCATATATAGGAGGTAAGAATTCCTGCCCTTGGGCCTCCCAACCCAGGGCTGTGGTGACTGGTGCCAGCCCATCCCACCCAGGATATCCACATAGGCAAAGGAGAGATGGGTAGAAACCCTGTTACTGAATCTAGGCCACCGGGGCTTCCACCTCATTCCTTCCCACCCTCACCACAGCGTGGCTGAGGCATAGTGTCCTGCCAGGCGGTACTGGCGGTGCAGACCACATGGGCTTCTTGGGGTGAACTTCTCGGCCAGGTAGAGCACAGGGTCTGGCAGCCCCTTCTCCAGTGCCTTTGCATACTCCACAGCATAGTTCGTGCCCAGGCACCAGGTGAACTCCTCATTGTAATTGATGGTCTCGTTCAGCTGCTGCACAGGGGTCCCTGGGGAGCATGACAGCTGTGCTCAACAGAAATCCAAGGGCCAGAGTGGGGCGTTTGCCTTGTAGGGGCTCACTCACACTGGGCAGAGGGACAGGAACTGGTCTCAACTGAGGGAAGACAGCTTTCAAGGCTCTGGATTTCCCTCCCCACCGTCCCCCTACACCCTCCCAGCCCCAGTGCTGGGTGTCCTGTAGTTATTTGGACCACACCAAACATAGATCCCAGAGACAGCAGAACCCTCCTTCACCTGTGAGTGTGATGTTGATTCCTCTCAGCCCAACCTGTAGTCCAATATCAGCGCTGATCCATTCAGAACTGAAGGCCTTGTATGATGTGTTGGTGCTCACCTGGCCCACAGACCACTCAGAACTGAAATTCACAGCTGGGGTTGGGAAGTTGGACATATGGGAACTCAGGTCTGGGCATTGCTGGGTTAGGGTTACAGGGAGAAAGACAAAGGGCCCGTGTCTGTTTAGGTCACCATTTATACCCAGTCTAGAGTCTGGCTCATGGTAAGTCTGCCAACCATACGTATGGGATGAAGAGATTTCTCCTGATCACTCTCTGCCCTTTTCCTCCCTTTCTTCCCCTTTTAGGGAGAGTTACTAAGGGAGCTGGGAAAGGAAGCATGCTGGGCAAATGCACAGAGCTTCAGCATAGAGACCTTTCATTGGTCTCATTTGCCTAATCACCAGAGCAAAGCAAGCAGCCCCCCACCCCCATTTCCTCCTTTCCTCTTTCCAGAGGCCCTTTCCCCACAGACATTCTTTTGAACCTGTGTTCCCTGAATAAAAATGTTAGGAAGGCTGAGAGACACACCCAGCATGTTTCCAGGAGAGGGTAAGAGTGAGGGGATAAGGCCATGGCGGAAAAGGTGTATGGGCAGGATCTGGTTGCTGCTGTGAGGAAACAAGGAGAGGAGAGGCTGGGTGCTGAGGGGAGTCTATGAGATGGAGACAGTGGCCCAAGTCAGCTGTGCTTCACACTCACCCAGGATCACAGCCCCGATGAATAAGCTGGTCACCACCCGCAGCAGCCAGAACAGCCTCTGAGTCACAGGGTGGGGGGTGGGTTCAGTAAGGAGTGCCCTCCTTCCAAGCCTACCCTTCCTCTTTCCAGACTTGAGAGAGGGGCAGGAATTCTAAAACTGAGATCAGCTGGTCAGTTGAGATCAGCGTGTCTGGCACATAATTTGGGGCTTGTCTGCTGAATCAGTGAATGGGAGCTTTCTGCCTGGGGGTGGTGGTGATAGTTTCTCAGCACTGGGGTCTCTTTCCTGAAGTCCGATTGTCACTAGAGAGTCTGGACCCCTCACCCCAAGGCCGAGGTCTCCCTGAGGGGTCTTCAGGACTGGGTTTGTTTCTTACCATCTTGCCCCGAATGCCAGGCAGGATGACGATGAAGGTGATCAGTGCAGTCAGAAAGATGATGATGATGGTGACCAAGGTGGTATCCATTGGGAAAGTTGACTTGGGGCCAGCATAGAAGGGGAACGTGTGTCCAAAAGCAGCCATTTTGCTGGGAGTGTGCAGGGAGAGGCAATGCTGTACAACAACAATAGATATTTATTGCATGTCCTCTGTTCACCTGGCACTGTTTCTGGTGCTGGAGATATAGCAAAGAATACACATCAGACCAGACCATTCTTCTCTGAAGCGCACATCTGTGCCTCACCAGACTTCACTGTTACTGCCATTCCACTATCCCTCAGCCATCCATCTCCCCACCTTTTGGCTGTGATAGATTGAGGGTCTTAACAATCAGTCTCCCATAATCCTTTCCTAACCCCCAGGTCCCAAAAATCAGTGCCAATATCACCCTTGAGGCTTCTTTGTTTCTTCTGGGACTGTCTTAAGAAATATAATTGTCGCTGCCAACAGATACATGAAAAAATGCTCAGCTCCACTAGTCATCAAAGAAATACAAATTGAAACCACACTGAGATGTCACCTAACTCCAGTCAGGATGGCCATCATCAATAACTCAAAAAACAACAGATGCTGGAGAGGATGCAGGGAAAAGGGAACACTTCTACACTGCTGATGAGAGTGTAAACTATACAACCTCTGTGAAAAACAGTTTGGTGATTCCAAAAGATCTAAAAATCCACCCTCCATATGACCCTGCAATCCCCC